TAATGTCCATTGAAGTCAATAGAAGGACTTCTGTGTCTTCAGTGGGTTTCTGAAACCCAGTCAGGCCCAAATCATGTAATGTGGGGAATGTTCGTTTTGTGGAAGAAAACAAAGAAAAGTTTGAAATACAGTAAGAGATGGCAAAAACACAAACAAACCTCCCTACAGAAGTCTCTGTAGGAGAACTGAAATAATCACTTTGGCTGCTTTAAAATAACTAAAGCTTACAATATTACGTAACTGTGGTATAAAGAAAAATACATCATTATGAGAACCATGCTGGAAAACTGGTGTCGCTGGCCTTAAGGGCATAAGATTTCTGTTGAAATCCCACTTATATATACTACATTATTTGTACTGGAATAGGTTTTTTTTTTCTGCATAATTTCATCTTTATTTAATTTTTAATGCTTTCTAATGGGACAAATATTTAGAAAGGTAAGAAAGTCCTGAGGTTAATAACTTTGAACCCCTCCTTTCCCCCCAAACTCCAAACTTGTCTTTTTTACAAATAGAAGTGCCATGTGCAGAAAAGTAGCAAATATTTTTACCGTATTGATTATGCACGTTATTGATTATATGATGAAGAGGTAAATATTACCAAAGTTTTGACACTGAGTTGGCATCAGCAAAGGCTGTAATTGAATGATTATGTACCTAATTTGGGGGTGTAATTTGATTTTTTGGTAATCTTTTCTATGTTCCCAATCCCCCCAAGTGTCGTATTCAGCCAGGGGAAGTCAGGCTGCTTTGGTTCTTCCTCTGCGGTGCCATTAGGAGGAAAGGCCAATGGAATTTCCTTTTTTTTCCTGAATTTTGGTGGTGGGTCTATCCTTTTTCTTGAAATTGCCATTGAACGTAGACTGTGTATGAGCAGATGCAGACATTCTGATTCTGCTTTTGTTTTTCCCTCTTCCTCCCCTTTAGCAGAGAGAAACTCCATGAGTTACAGTAAGATAAGATAACAGCAGAGCAAATGAAAAAAGGGGAAAAAGCCCCTTTGTTGGTCACCTAAAATCAAACAAATGCTCACAAAGCAGTGCGATACAACCTACAGCTGATGCCTCACCCCACATCTTTACATCAGTTCGCCCACCCACCTCAAAAGAAAAATGAATTGGATAGGCCCTGAATATTGCCCACTCTTTTATAAAATGAAACGGTCTCTTTCGGTAAGGTGCCGAAGACTTGACAGCAGCACTGATCACTGGAACGGATCCCTCAAAGCCTTTCCAGCATTTGCTTTTCTTTCCTTTTCACTTTTTGTCCATTCTTCTATTTGTCCAAGGCACTGATCACTGGAACGGATCCCTCAAAGCCTTTCCAGCATTTGCTTTTCTTTCCTTTTCACTTTTTGGTCCATTCTTCCATCTGTCCAAGGCAAAAAGGGAAAAAGCCAAAACTCACGTGCGGTTTTATTGATGTTTGGCTTTTTAACCAATTCTGTTGTAGCGATGACAAAATCGTGTGTGTGGGGAGGTCGGGTCAGTGTCCATGACCTGTTTGAGGTGCATCAGGCCAAGCAGACTGCACGGGGTCAGATCATTCTCAATGTACAACCCACACAGAAATGTTTCCCTCGCTCTTCCCTCCTGCTGCTTTCTTTCACAATAAAAGAGCACTTTCCATGCTTGCAATTAAAAGCTAGATTTTTGGAAAGGCATTTCTTTGTTTTGTAGTGACAGCGATGAAAAGCCGCTGAAAGGCAGCCTCCAGTCAATTAACGGGGACATTAAAGCCACTGAAAGTGCTGATAGTCTGGTAGATTATGGAGAAGGGGAGCATGGGATGTTCAATGAAGATGGTTCATTTATTGGAGCTTATTCTGGATCTAAGGAAAAAGGATCAGTGGAAAGCACTGGGAGTTCTACGGCAACTTTTCCTCTCCACGCCTGAAATATTAGCCAGAATGATTTGTGTTTAATTGTGCTATTTATCTTGATTAGTACTCCACAGTTACCACATGTGATTGGAAGCAGGTTGCCAATTCAGCCAGTCAGGAACCTGACATCCAGGTAATACAAAAATAAGTCACTGCCACTAAAAGATGATTTTCCATCCTAATTTCTAGGTGTTTTCTTCTAATTAAAACAAAACAAATAATTCTTTACTGTACAAAATGTCTTAGTCTTACCAAACCAGAATTTCTCACTGTTACATCTGTATACTTAACTGCTATTTTTAGGTTTGGAATATGTTTCTCTGTATAGTATTTTTTTTTTCCTGTGTGGCTGTTGTCACTTTGTACGTACATTTATATGTAGTATTCCCTCACGTACGGTGACCTCGGCATTGTAGATATTATAACACAACAAGAAAATTAAACAAAACCAACAGGTTACTCTGCAAAGTGACACAATGCCTCCGACTGAGAAAAATTATAATTTAAAATACTGGAGAAATATATTCTATATATTGTATCATTTTTCATAAAGAGATCAACTCCTTTGCTTACGATACTCTAAAATTATTTTAGTGGTTACAGCTGACTGCAATTACTAATACTTAGAGATGCAACTTTATCCACACAAAATTTGCTCTCAAAAGACAGAGCTCTGGCCTTGGGGATGAATGTTCTGTCCAGTAGCTGGCACTATTTCCTTAAATAAGTTAAGCTGCAGTATCTTTCCTGTGGCAAGGCAAAACAGGGTTCCCATCCACCATCATTAGGAAGTATTTTAATTTCTTTTCCCGAGTCTCTGCAAGCTGCATTTCTAAGCAAAATGCTTGTTGTCTGTCTCATATCTGTATATTTGTGCGCTAGCATACATTTCATGGAGACGTTGTACATATGATATTAATATTGACACAAGTGGAAATTATTTTGAAATGAGATATGTTGGTAGCATGAGTCTGTATAGCTGTGTAGGAATGAGTAGGATTGCTTCTCAATATGAGTTTAGACCAGCAAAACTAGTTTTCAGAAGGAGTTGTGTGTATACCAGTCATATAAATGTCACACCTTTCTAGTATCACATAAAATAGACCTACCTGACTTTCCAGAGACCATTTATTTTCAAGCTATTCATTGTTAAATAAACAAAAGCGAAAGCAAAGAGAAAATATTATGGTATAGTTTCTTTTGTATTTTGTTTACTGAATGCTAGTTTAAATCTGATTCTTTTCTTTGCCTTTCCAACACTAACTCAGCAAAGCTGTACAGCACATTTTTTTGGTCTTTTTATATTGGAATCTCCTGAATTTCTTTAAAAGCATTTGTATTTTTGAATACGCTTATTTGAGTAGAGTATCAATATGGCTTCATTTCTTCTTGCACTTACAAATGACTGTCACTTCAATTATAATATTTTTTTAAACAGTTACGGCAGGAGGAACAGATCCTAAAAGCCGTTCTGCATCATGATAGTAATTAGGCAAATATCCCCAATGGCTCCTTCATGGTCTCTATTGCTTCAATGGAAGAAAGAGAGGAAGCGAGAATTACTGACGTGGTTATGAGTTTCCCGTAACGGCTACAATTAAGACCCGTTAGTTGCCCACAGAAATGCAGGTCCTTACCAGTAGAAAGGCGGTGGTTGGCACACAGCTCACCTTACGCTTGGGCTCCTCCCCAGCCCTCATCCACTTCTGAAAGCAGTAAGTGGCCTTTGGTGCTTGATGCTTCTGCATATCTGTTCCTCTTTTTTTTTTTCTTTTTTTTTTTTAATTTTAGCTTGTAAAGGCCTTTCATATAGCCTCTCTTTAGGAAAAGCAAACCCCAAACAGCCAGCCTGAAACCCTCAGTGGTGTCGTGTGTATGAGTATAAAAGGATGAGTGGAATTCTGCTGGGAGTCAAAAATCACCCCACTCCATGTCCGTGACCCAGGTCATTCACTTTGTATTATTTATACAGTTTTATTTTCTGTATTTCACTCAAGCCAAATCCTGAAAAAGTTCAGAGTCATTTTCATTTTGGAAAGAACCTTCATTTCGAAAAGAAGGGAGTGCATAATTGGATAAATGTGAAAATCAGCATCAGAGTCATTTCAGTCAACAGAGAAATTTCCCACCAGGATCTTTATCTGCTGACTCTTGTCTGCTGCAGCCCAAACCAGATAAAGCCTAAGAACTGATGAGGCTTGTGACAACCTCTGTTGCAAGCTTCGGACTGTTTTTAATGTATTTCCTTTAGGAATCATCCGCACTAGCACATGATCAAGGGTCTTTGAAATAGGAACAAAATTAGGGAAGAAAATTGGGGTGGGCTCCCCCAAAGCCTTGCTAACCCCCCCTGGGTGGAGGGCTGGGGGGGGCTGTGCCGGAGCCCGGCAGAGCTCTCCCGGCTGCGGGGTCACTAACCAGGGCAGAGCTTTGGGCAGACACTTCCTTTAGGAATCATCCGCACTAGCACATGATCAAGGGTCTTTGAAATAGGAACAAAATTAGGGAAGAAAATTGGGGTGGGCTCCCCCAAAGCCTTGCTAACCCCCCCTGGGTGGAGGGCTGGGGGGGGCTGTGCCGGAGCCCGGCAGAGCTCTCCCGGCTGCGGGGTCACTAACCAGGGCAGAGCTTTGGGCAGACACACGTGGGCGAAGACACGCGTGGGCGAGGCTGGATGTGACCCTGCCGCAATCCCAGTTGTTCGTTTTCTCATACTTTGGGTCACTGCAGATCAACTAGACTCCTTGTCCCAGAAAATGCCTATGTTAAACAGACACAAATTTCAAATCATATTAGTGAGTGTCAAATTATCGAATAATGAATATAAATCCCCTGTGCTATCACTTGCTCTGTTGCTGCTAAGAGATGTTTATGACATTCCTGTGATGTGCTACTCATCTGTGCCGGTATGAGTGCTTTTTCCATTAAATTTTTAATTCAGATCCTTAAATCTTAATGTTGGTGTTTCATGATGCCTCAGGGCCTAAAAATCATACAGTGACAAAAAAGATGTGCCACGGAAGTTGAACAGAGCGCACTGACTTTTGAGGAATATGCCCAATGAATATTAAACAAATGGCTAAACTCCTGGGGAATCTCACTCACCTGAGCTTTTTTCTCTTTCCCAATCATTTTTTTTCCTTTCCCCCCCCACCCCCCGTTGGGGTTTTATTTTCTATTGTAAGGGTACGACTCATACAGCGTACCTTGGAAAGTGCAGGACACTAATGGATTTTTAGAGATTTGCTTTTGAAAGTAAACTAACAGAGCAAGCTTAGATTTTCCTGAGCCGTTCTTTGTCATTGCCAGGAGATGGGCTGCATTTTTTTCTAGGGAAATCTGTTACAGATGAGAGGAAGTGTGGCCATGTAGGCTGAATAAAAAGTATCACCAACAGTACTGCAGTTCTGAAAGAGTACATTAAATCCAATAACTTTTTCTTTTCTTTTCTTTTCTTTTTTACTTTGGCCAGGAGTGTTTATTAAAATTAGTTGATGGAAATCTGTGATGATTTTATGAATTAATACCTAGCAGGGAATTTCAGACTGCCTGCTGAGAGGAGGGAGTCAGGGACGGCCAGCCGTGGGAGGATGCAGACCATGCTGGATAGAGAATTATTAATTACCCTGTGCCACGGATGTTAGTTTGGTTACATGTGGGTCCGATACACCATTCCGTTTTGCTGGCAGTAACGGTGTGAGAGGGGAAATGACACTTTCAGATTTGATATCTTGGTCAACCTGGGGTGCGATTTCATCCAGCAAGGAGGCGACATTTCCCTGGCCCCAGGAATCCTGGCTTGTGGATTTAAGAAGCCTCCCGTGGAACAGGAGAGGGATGGAGGTTTCTCAAAAAGTTGTGCAGTTTTGACTGTGCGTAAGATTAAGCAAATAAAATCAGCTCTTCCTAACTAATGGGAAAAAACCCCTCTGTGTGCTACCTCCCGTGCAAGTGAGCTGTACTATTGATTTGGTATGGATTGTAATCTCAGACCTAAGTTTTTATTAAAAAAAAAAGTCGTTGTACAATCAAGAATTTGTGGGCATGGCCCTAGCTTCATTCTCTGGCAAAATTTGAGGACCCAGTCTCTGCCCTTCAGCAAGGCTAACGGTACAGGACTGGGTATTGAAGCCCTTCTGGGGCTGGATCTTTAGGAATTAGGAACCAAATCAGAAAATGACTTTCCCCTCTGGATAAAAATGTGTGTGTATGTATAATAAATTAAAAAAACCTTTTTTGTAACTCAAGTTTTAAATGGATCTGATTAGCATATCATTTAATGATTTATGATATTTGTTCTGTTGTGTTCTTATTACACAAATTTTAATGAGTAGCTCTTTTTCTGATAACTACTTCCATTGACTGAATGGATCAGATCTTATGCATGAGAGGTTTTAATAAAAGTTTTCAGGCCGGTATTATTTTGGAGATTAAAACAAATACTAGCACAATCTTTCTATATAAAAAGGTGGGGTTTTTTAACAGTAATTCCACATGCAGTTTTGTAAACTAAAGTTAGAATAGCATTTGCTGATCCTTGCGTGCTTCTGAAAGGAAATCTCATCATAATTTTTTATAGTCATTATTTTGCAGATGAGTGGTACATCTAGATTATTTTACGTACCTGTAAGAACAGATATAAAGAAAGGAAGTTCTTCATGCAAGAGAATTTCCTTTGTTTGACAATGGATCAAGCCCTCAGCTGCATCTCTGTTAATGTTTAGTATTTGAAAATGAGGCATATAAACCATGTTGGGGTACCAGAACATGTTTACATTGCAGCTCTCTGTCTTTCATGTAAAAGTCTGGAGTGATCTGCACTGATTTGTTCAGTTTTCAGGCAGGAACCAGTAGGTGGGTTTGAGCCAAAGCGTACTGTCTGTTTCGTTTTTTATTACTACTATTATTATTATTATTACTTTAAATAAGATACTTTGTAATTTCCTGAGAAAAGATCAAAGCAAATGTGGTGTTACTGTTACAATGTTACTTTTTGAGCTAAATGTTAGTGTGCATTTATTAAAGTTTAGAGAGATGTGTTGTACTGTAGTTGCTGTTTGTATCATGCATATGTGCACGTATGGTTTTAAAAGATATTTTCATTTTACATGAAACACAACTTTGCTAATAAAAGTTTGACTTGATGTAATCTTCAAAAGCCTTAGCTGTAATCAGCACGTTTCTCTTTGGTTTGGTTTTGTGTTTTTGTTTGTTGTTTTTTTTTTTTTTTCTCCTGATACTATTTCTTTGCTGGGAATCTGTTTTAATTGTCATTTGTGGTCTGTGGTTTTCCTGTGGTTTTCCTGTGGTTTTCCTGGCCCCGCACCAAAGTCAAGCTGCCCTTGGCTTTTGTTGGGACTGCCGGACCCTATGGACAAACAACCGTCT